ACGCGTCACTGTTAGGGGATCTGTCCGCCCCCGATCCGAAGAGAACATGGCTGGGTGACGCGATGGGGCGACTCCCCACCCGCCTTGCGTCACCGTGTGCTCCGCCGCTCCCCCGACCAAAGCAATGTTCGCGCAATAATCGCTCCCGGATGTGCTGATGGGGGTACGCTTTTTTGGTCGGCGGGTCGAGAGCGGGCCTCTTCCGGCTAAGAGCTAGGCGGGGCGCGCGAAGCACTAATTGGGGAGACAGGGCGCGGGCGGGCGGGGCCTCAGGCGGCCGGAGGGTGCGGAGTACAGGCGGTGCCGAAGAGCTTGCACAGGAAAGCTGGTGTGAATACTCGTAACGTCAAGAGTTAGGGCGACGTTGGAGACCCTGGGAAGGCGAGCCCAGGCGTGCGATGCCGTTTCGTTTCAATAAGGGGGCCCCTGGATCCCTCGACCCCTTCCCGAGGGCCGGTTTTCCATCCTGGATCGTTGTCCGATGGCCCTCTGGGACAGGCGCTGGCACCAGGAGGCCGAAGATGGCGAGAGACCTTTTTGTCTTATTTTTCAAAAGCCTCGAAGCTTGCGTTGGGGCGTCAAAAATTGACCCGCTGTTCTGCCCAGGCCTGCGTCTTGACCAGGGCTTCGCATGGAATCAAAAAAGGAACTTCACACGGAGGCCCCGAGAGCACGAACAACAGCTCAAGCAATGTCGGGCGCTGGCGGGACTGGGTTTAGCTGGACCTGGTTTAGTGATGCGCATTGGGGAACGCCCCCCCCCCCGCCCCATTCCACTGACCGGAACTGCCGCCACCCGAAGAACACCTGCTACGGCAAACCTGGTTTAGTGATGTCAGTCCATATTTTGGGCTTCGGGGCCCAATCACTAACTGGCTCCCCTTAACCGGGGTCCTGGCTATACCCGACAATGCATTGGGGGAGCGCCTGGGCCTCCAGCTTGGGCGTCGCCGGGGCCGACTCGCCGGCCTGGCTGGCACCGCCTTGGGCCTGCGTGGTCCCCGGCGTTGAAGCCGGCGTGGCGTGGTAGCTGTACAGGTGCAGGGGCGCGGGGGTCGGGGCGGCGACGTAGATGACGGGAGAGCGTCCCGGAGACACGATCCTCGGGGGAGGGAGACCGACATCCTGGCATCGCTAGATTGGATATGTGCCTGGCGTTGGCGCACGCGGCTGCGCGAACTGATCCTGCTCGAGACTGCAGCAGCGTTATGGGGTCAAGGGTTCTGGGCGTTCTTTGCCACGATGCTGCAATTGTTTCGCGACGTCGCATCCCACGAGAACCAAATTTTGTTGGACCTGGTCGGGCCTCCCGTGAACTCTTCGACCGCCGCAGTTGGATCCGTCTCGACAGATGTCCCGACCAATACGCGCCAAGGAAGAGGTCGTCCACGGATTCGTGGGCGTCGACTTTGAAGCCCAGGACCCCCACTCTCGGAGTTGCAAAAACACGCGACGGCATGTTTGTTCTAGCCGCCGCCCCTCGGAATCCAGTTCCGGATCCCAGGGCTGCTAAGAACGACCCGAGTGAGAAGAACGGCACCCAGGTAAGGACAATTTGCACGCACGCTTCACATCGCCCTGAAACGCGGTGGCAACGCGCTGAATTGCAGGCCGCGGGCTGCCGTGGGCAATTTCGAACAATCGAAACCTTAAGCCGCCCAATTCTGCTACACAGCCAAGATCAGAACTGAGGAAAACAAGAACCCTCTCAAAGTCCCAACGCCAACCCGCTAGCGCTCGATCGTGCGTGCCAACTGATCTCTTACGAGTTCTACGTGGACTCAATCGGGAAATGCGTGAATGACATGTGGCTCTTGACACTGTTCCTAATCTTAGGTCGGGCATGTCCTCCTACAGGCGGGTTCTGGGCGAAAAATACAAAAAAACTATAACAACAACTTGCCAACAAATGCTCACAACTCGTCCCCATATTATTTGTTTGGACTATTTGGGAATTTTCCTCCTGTCGAAGGACAGGCCCGACTTAATCCTAATCATAACCTGTCTCAATTTCCCCCCCCTCCTCCTGCTCCTCCTGCTCCTCCTGCTCCTCCTGCTCCTGCTCCTGCTCCTGCTCCTCCTCCTCCTCCTCCTCCTCCTCATCATCCTGTCTCGCCTCCTGCCCCCTTGCCTCCTCCTCCTATTCCTTTTCCTCCTCCTCCTCCTCCTCCTCCTTCATCCTCCTCCTCCTCCTCCTTATTAACCCTCCTCCTCCTCCTCCTCCTCCTCCTCCTCCTCCTCCTCCTCCTCCTCCTCCTTTTCCTCCTCCTCCTCTTCCTCCTCCTCCTCCTCCTCCTAATGCGTCTTGTTGCTGATTGTTTCTGAATCGGGCGCACAATGGGGGAGCGCGGCCCCCGATGCTCAAGGCGCGCGGGCGGCGCGCGGATTCGCTCAGGGCAAGCGTCGCCGCTGGTTCGCCCGCGCGTCCCCGATGCCATTATGGGCCGCGCGCGCTTCGGCCAAGACCACCAACCGCTCGTCGATCAGCCTTTCGACTTTCGGCTCGTCGCGATCCAGAACCGTGTCGTTGAGGTCAAGACGGCTGTTATATACGCATCGCGGGCAGCACAGGTACCGCGGGCGACTGTCGACCTACTGCGCGCGGCGCCAGTCCCCCGCGTCGCGCGCAGCGTCGAAGGCGCCGCACGTCGAGCACCGAGCACCACAGAAAGCCTGGCAGCTGCCATGGTGAATTTCGGATTTCGCGCAACCTGCAAGACAATCGACGCTTGAAGCCGAAAGCGGCCAACGCGTAAGACGAAATGGTGACGCGCCAACACAAGAAACGAACGAGAATGAAGACAGCGGGCGAGCTCCGAAGGAACAGGAGGAAACGACGGGGGAGGGGAGCTCCGAAGCGAATGCCCATCCTGCACAGGAGGGCGGTTGAAGGGGAAGGGGGGGAGGCGACTTCTGTTTTGGAGCTGGACGCAGGGCCAAGCTGATGTCATCGCAGGATCCGCGCGAACGGCTGCGAGAAAAAGCGGAACAATGATGCGACGCTGAGTCCCTCGGGCAAGAGCACGCTGCCACGGCGCTTGGCGAAATGAGCGCCCGCGCCGCCAAAACCCCCGCCCCTACAAGTGCAGGTGTCTCAAGCTCGAACCCGCGCGTCGCTTCAACGCCCACCTCGAACAATTGATAAGCCTTGGGTCTCGCGTGAAACACTTCTGGGCGCGCGACGCACAGAGCGGCGCGTTGCGAGCTGAATTTGGCCAGCAGCGCATGCATAATGTATCCCTTAAAGGCTACCAGTTCCCATGCAAAGATCGCCCTGGGACACTTTAAGCATCGCGCTGTTCATCGCGGTTTCCTCGGTGACACTCGGATCACACAGCTTGTCGGCGATTGCTTCCCCATCAAGATTACGCGTCTGATAACAGCAGCCTGGCCTGACAACTGACTGCTTGTTTGTGCTTTGCGGTCTCCATGGGCAAGCGGTACAATCGAACCGTCGATGGGTTCCGCTCGTGCCGAATACCAAGACGATGCCGCAGAGCGTCGCACTGAGCCTCGTACGCGGAACCAGGGCACTTGTTGTTGACCTGCGTCAATATAACAGAGATGTCTGCCCCGTCGAATCTGCTGCCACGCCCAAACTCACAGCTCGCAACCAATCGCTCCTCCAGGCAACTGGATCAACCTATTGAAGGGACACCATTGGATTGATTGTAATGTTATGTTCCATCAAGTGTTGTATCAGTTGCGCCTTCGTGCGCCTGCTGCTCCGTCGTGGCACCGCGTTGCACATGTGTCCGGGCAGGAAAACCTGCGCGGGAGACGTCGAAAACCCAGCCCACTCGAGAAAAACCGCGGGGTGCATAATTATTCGAGCAAAGTGCGGCTTGCCTCCGCATGGAGATGTCGAGCGTAAGCGCAGCCGCAAGCTGTCACGCGCACGTGCAGGCGTCATCGCTGGGCATGCCGCGGTTCTTGACAGTCTCATGTATCAACCGAGGCTCGGAGATATGATGCTTCATTTGGATGGCGCCGCCCAAGAAGGCCATGTCGTTGACGACCAAGTCGTCAATGCTGGACTGACACGATTCCACCCAGATTTCCATGATCTCCGCCGAAACACTGTTCGTCGCCAACTTGTCGGCCATGTGGCACTGCGACTTAGCAACGATTGCACGAAGTACGGTATCACATGCAGGGGCTAAGAAACAAACAACTTCACCCCAAACAGCTTCACGCGAACTCTTTCCTACGCCCTCCCCTTCGTCTGGTTCCTCCTGCACAAGAGGGATGATGAGCTTCACCCCACCTGATCAGCCACATGTTGAAAAAGGCTGGCCTCGCTATTTAGTGGCAGAAGGTTGCTAGACATGGATTTGCGACATGCGTTGCAGAAGAGCGAGACTGGGATCCTCGAGGAGATACCTCGTGTTCTTTTCACGTCGGGCTGCCCTGGTGGAAGTCCGGAACACCCGCCCGAGAGGGGGAGAAGAGGGGAACGAAGAACGACCACGGCGACGACGACGACGACGACGACGACGACGCTGACTCCATGGAGGACGGCGAGCATTTTGGCGGCGCGCAGAAGGGGGTGGAGGGAGGGGGGAAGGCTTCTTAGAAGGAGGCTGCTTCTTAGAGGGCGGCGGCCTTACATCCATACACAAGGGCCGCGCCTTCCAAGAAGCAGGGGGTGCTTCTAAGAAGCCTTCCCCCCTCCCCCTGACCCCCCTCTGCGCGTGGCCGAGCATCGGCGACTGCGACCGGGGCAAGCAGCCCCGAGTGCCGGCCCTGCGCGCAGTCGCCCAGGGCGCTGCGCCGAACACGTGGGCGGAGCCGGGGGGCCCCTCGGGACACACGCCGCGGCAGCCTCCCCCCCCTCAATTGGGCGATCCGCCCCTGCTCGCCAGGCCCCGAGAGCGAGGACGGCGAGGAGGGCCAGGCGAGGACGAGAGGGACGAGGGGGAGGGGGAGTGGCGAGGGGCGGGGGGGGATTCCCCCCCTCGGCAAACACTAGATTGGACTCAACAGCCTGGTGCGGAACA